AAGTCTACATTCAGGTGGGATATACTCAGTGTTGTGTTTTGGGTCACATGGACTTATTTTAATTTTCTTTGTTTCAAGATGAACTTGCATATGAACTTGAACTGCATATTGATATTCTGTTCCACAGTCAGACCCTGGCCTTATATTGACTGATGATATTGAGCTTCTCCTTGTTTCTGTCCACAGATGAGTCAATTTGATTCCTGTGAATTCCATCTGGTGATATTCACATGTGTAGTAATCATTTATGTTGTTGAAAAAAGGCATTTTCAATGGATAGCATTCATACAAAATTCTATCATGTGGTCTGTGGTGTTATTTCTGTAGCAAAGGTCACGTTTTCCAACCTTTTAATCTCCAAGGCATCTTCATGGCATAGATGATCAAATTTCAGGCTGCAGAAGTTGGTAAAAACCTTCCATTTTCTCATCTTTGGCATTGGTGGTTGGTGTATAAATTTAAATAAACATCAGTCATAGTAACTGGTCTTCCTTGTAGGTATGTGGATATTATCCTATTACTAACTGCATTGCGTTTCAGGATAAATCTTGACATGTTCTTTTTAAACATGAATGTGATGCTATTCCTCTTCAATGAATCATTTCCGGCGTAGTAGACCATATGATTATCTGATTCAAAATGGTCAATACCAGTCCACTTCAGCTTACTCAATGCCTAGAATATCGATCTTTATTGTTCTATTTCATTTTTGGTGATTTCTAATTTTCTTAGATTCATGCTTTGTATATTCCATGTTCCAATTATTAATGGATGTTTGCAGCTGTTTTTTCTCATTTTGTGTCATGCTACATCAGCAAATAAGAGTCCTAAAAGCTTTACTCCATCCACATCATTAAGGTAGATTCTGCTATGAAGAGGCAACTCTCTCCCAGTCATATATTGTACAGTCGTCTTCCTGCATTATATCAGACAATGTTGTTGTTAAGTACCATCGAATCAGTTCTGACTCATAGTGACCCTGTATAGGGTTACAGATTCCCCAGTCAGAGTACAGTCAAGCTTCAGACTCAGTTCTCCAGCTGATCACCAGGTGTCCCCAAGAACTCCCACCCCCACCTCCCTGCTCCCCACAGTGAACTTGTCCTTAATCTTCTGGACCTACTCTTTGTCTTGTCCTGCCCATCTGGGTGAATGATAGCACCATCAACTGACTCAAAGTCAGAACCTGGAAGTTATCCTGAACTCCTCTCTCTTGTCCCTCATTTGGCCTCTCCTCAACCTCCTACAGTTTGTCACCAGGTTTTGTGATTCTGTGTCCTTTCTGTCTCTTCTTATTGTTGTATTATACCCTGAGTCAAATCCAACTCATGGCGACCCCATAGGACAGAATAGAATGGCCCCATTGTGTTTCCTAGGCTGTAATCTTTACAGAAGCAGATTGTCAGGTCTTTATCCTGAGGAGCAGCTGATGGGTTTGAAATGCCAACCTTCAGTTAGCAGCCAAGGACCTAATCACGGCACCACCAGGGCTTCTAAATATCTCCTGTAGCCCTCTCCATCCCATCGCCTCTCCCTTGTTTCAAGCTTATTTCTCATCTGGGTTTCTGTTTGTTGTTGTTGTTAAGTGCCATCAAGTCAGTTCCAACCCATAGCGACCCTGTATAGGGTTTCTGAGGAGCAGCTGCTGAGCTTGAACAACCGACCTTGCAGTTCAAATGGCTTTGCAGTCCGGAGCATTAACCCACAACGCCACACCAGGATTTCTGTAGCAGATCTGAAATTGTATCATTCTCAAATGCTGGCCTTCAGACAGATGTGTCATTGGCTGTCTAAGAATCATTTAACGAGCTTTGTAGAGATGTTCGGGTCCCCGGTCCCCACACCCTCCAGAAAGGCTGGATCAACTGGTCTGTCTTTTGACAAAGCTGTCCCCATGGTCCTGAGGGGCAGCTTGTGATGAGGAGACATTTGTAGGGATCTTCCTGTGCCCTGCCAGGTCTGTACTAGCCAGCCTTCCACATAAAGACCGTTCCCAGTCACCTCAGTTTCCTCTCTTCCCCACCCCACCCCATTCCAGACCAAATCCAATGGCTTACTAATGACTGATATGTGTGACAGCAGCTGCTCCTACCCTGTTGGTGTTGTGCACCCCAGTAGTGCTTCTGATTTCCTTAGCTGACGTACAGTTCCATGATCACCTCCTCTCTTTCCTTCCCTCATCCTCAGGGTTCCACCTGCAGCAAGTACGTTGCCTGCCAGCCTTTCAGAACCACCTCTTCCCTCGGTCCTACTGTTCCCCCTACAGAGCACCTGTGTGTGGGGATCCACTCCAGGGCACAGGACAGTAGGGATTCAGTTCGAGGCTGAGGCTGACCCATCTTCTATTATAGCATGTGTCTCACCTCTGTGGTTACCCAGTATCTGACACTATGCCCGCCTCCTCTGTACCATTAGAACAGACACTGATTATATTTGACTCATTGTGTGTGTGTGTGTGTGTGTGTGTGTGTGTGTGTGTGTGTGTGTGTGTGTGAAAGAGAGAGAAACAGAGAGAGAAAGGATGCTTGTACTTCTGAGCAGTGATGAAATCATGAACTCCATTGTCCCTGTTTTGCCACCTCCGCACCATAATGGAACGCTGGTGGCATTGTAGAATAAACACTGAACTATTAGCCACAGGGTCAGCATTTCAAACCTACTAGTGGCTCCACAGGAGAAAGATGAGGCTGGCTGCTCCCTTAAAGATTTATAGCCTCAGAAACTCTGTACGGGGTTGCTATGAATTGGAATGAACTCGATGGCAGTGGTTTGGTTTTTAAATACCATAATGGATACAGGCTGCACTTAAAAAGTGCCTGCCAGGAAACTGCTCATCCTCTCAGGTTCTCTGAAGGAGATGCTTTACAGTACTTTCCCTCAAAAGGAAAACATGAAGCCATCAATTGATGACTGGCTGATACTTTGCGCCTCCCCCACACCTCACCCCACCCCATATCATCATCCTCTGCTGGGCTGAAAAGCAGCTTGCCCTGGGAGCGAGGTGTCAGCTGGACACTGCAGGGGCAGCTGTAGTCAGGTATGTGTGTGTGTGTGGTGCCTCCTTTGTAAAAGACATGCAACTATGTAGTAAGTAAAAAGTGAAAAACAAACAAAAATCCCAGTTACCATTGAGTTGACTCTGACCCATGGTAACACCACGTGTGTCCGGGTGGAACTGTACTCCATGGGGTTTTCAGTCACAGATTGCACGGCCTTTATTCGAAGGCATCACTAGGTATATTCAAGCCTCCAGCCTTTTGGTTAGTAGCCCCTTAACGGTTGGCACCACCTAGGGACTCCATGTGATAATTAGGAATATCAGATCTGGTCTATTCCTCTGCTCCACCTGACTTTCCTTCTTGCTTTTCCCTCACACTCCTACATTTGCACACAAAAATTATGGATGTGGTGCGGTGTGTGCATCCACCTAGCAGCTGAGGATAGTTTGCAAGCCCAGCATGTTCAAGAGGATCAGTTATGTCATTAGTCTGATACCTGGGTATCGCTTAGAAACCAGACAAATACTCCAAGAGCTCCAATGATACTACTCTCTGGGTCTGGACTGAGATTGTATACGATGACACAGGCTGTTTCCACCCCTCTGCCATGGCTTCACAGTGGTCAACAGACCTGGCACCAGCACACTGTGCTAGGGGTGGGGGCAGAGGAGCACACCAACCCCCAGGTAGAGTTCAGCATCTTTGTGCAATTAGTCCGTGAGAACTTGTCAGATACATGTGTGAGTAATAAAACTGGGCAGAGTGCCTTTGTGGTATGCAGGTGTTTCAGGGTCTCTGTGAAGTGTGCACACACGATCCTTTCCTGATGCCCCATCTAGCTTCTGGCATCCATGTTTCTGTCAGGGATCTTCCTTCATTCCAGCCACCTGGGCACAAAATCCTCAGCCCAACACCCAGGCATGTGACAGGGAATTCTGGAATGCAGTGATGTCTCTCATAGAGTCTCTGCTCTGCCATCCCCACCATGGTCATGCCTTCAAACCCAGTCACCCTTGATCTGCTCTGGTCTCCTTCATTTAATTGCTCAGGCTGAGATACTTCCTGCTCCTGCTTTATCATTCCACACTGGCCTCCTCACTTAGCCTAGCTTCCTATGGCCACCCTAGTATGTCTCCAACCCCTCTTTCCAACTCTATTTATTCATTCAGCAAACATCTTTGGAACACATTTTCTACTGGACATTGTGATGACTTCTGGGGACAGAGCTGAGGAAATCACAGGGCCTGTCCTCAGAGGGCTCTCAGCCTGGTAGGGAGGTGACTGTTGTACACATTAGGCTGCAGAGAGCCATGCTCACAGCACGTCAGGGGAGAAGCAGGGGAATGGTGAACTCTACCTGGCTGATTTTGGGGTGGAAGGAGAGACTGAGATTAAGGAAGACATTCCAGAGGAGATACCTGACTAGGCCTTGGGGAGTGGGTGATGGGAGGGTCTGAGACTTAGGGGGCCCATGGGTGCATTCCTGGCCCCCCTTTGCCATACACCCTGGGCTATAACTATCCTGTCCACTAGCAGCTACCTAAACACACTCAACCTTGCCAGCCCCCAACATTGTTTCCCTTGAGGACACGATCATATCTCCCCTCCACAAAGTTCTGTCCATGAAATCCTGTCCATCCTTACAGGCCAGCCTCAGAGTCCATCTTCTCACTGAACCCACTCACCACCTGCTCTCCTCCTCAGCAACCTTCAGCATTGTGCACTTTGGCTGTGGTACCTGGCTTGTTTTCCTGTTTGTTCCTTTGCGTCCCTTAGTCTCCTCAGTCCTTGAAGGACTCACTAAACTGAAAACTCTAATAAGTACTTTCCTGAGCAAAGAGTAAACAGCAGAACGAAATGTGCACTAGCATGATCATGTTGTGTTTTTCTTTTGTTGGTGTAGTTGAAGTAATCCAAGATGCTTCAAATAATACCATTGACCTCTGGCATTAGGGGAATATACTCAGACGTACCCTTTCCTCTCTCTCTCTGTTGTTGTAGGGTTTGATGATCTTAACGTGTGTGCTGACCCAGGCATTCCCGAGAATGGCTTCCGGACCCCCAGCGGAGGGACTTTCTTTGAAAGTTCTGTGACCCGGTTTCACTGCCAAGATGGATTCAAACTGAAGGGCTCTACAAAAAGACTGTGCATGAAGCATCTTAATGGGACCCTCGGCTGGATCCCAAGTGATAAGCCCATCTGTGTGCAAGAAGGTAATGTGCATTTTTCCCTCTCCACTCTTGTGACTTTGTTTGTGGAAGGAGGGACGAATACCCTGAGTCGAAGCCCAGCCTGCAAGCTGACTACAATGAGGTCTGGGGTAGGGAGAAATTATTCTCAGCATTAGGAGTAAAAGTCTCCGGTCTGTATCTCAATTACAACTCAATTTATCACCATTTTTGTCAATGCAAGAGAGCATTAGGAATATCTATTTTTAGGCTGCCAACTCAGCACTCATTTTCATGTTACTTCATAAAAAGTGCAGTAAATATATTTTCTCAAAACTCTACATAATGATGCAGAAGATGTATGTTACTCCAAGGATTAAATCAATTACTACTTAACAGTTTTGTGTTCAATGAGATTCACGTAGAGAAAGAGAGCAGTGGCTAGTAGGTGACAGATGGGTAGAATAGACATTTATTTCTAGAAATTACTCTTAAAGGTATTGGTTGTGACAAGATAATCATTTACTTGTACTAATTATACCTAAGTCTGTTTGTTGAAACAACTAGATATTTCTTTTATTTTTACTCTTTATAGATACATTTAGGGTTTTTAAAAAAATGAACCGAGTTTAACTAATTGGAATGCCAAATTGTTGATACAGCTCAGCAAGGCTGAAGTAGGAATAGGCATGAGTCAAGAATTCATTCTAGCCCTGGATTTATTTCCCTGAGGCCTAGAATTTACATTTCATTGAGTTTGTTGGAAATTAGTTTTATTTTCTCTTTATACTATTCTGTGATTTTATTTGGGGATGGAGCTTTTATCATGATGATTTAAAAATATTATTTTTGTTTATTGTATATCTTCTTTATTAAACTCTATTTGACACGCACACATTGAGTATCTATAATGCTTCTCCTTACTACAATTATAAAGGATAGATAAGATGGAGAGTGTATTTTCCTTAAAGTACTTGCTCTCTTTGCTTTTATTTTCTAGGTTAAAAAAAAAAAAAGAAAGAAAGGCAAAAATAACATATTAAGGGTTAAACCAAACTCATTGCTACCCAGTCAATTCCCTGTTGTACTCTGCAAGGAACCAGGCAAAGAAGGGTTAAGCATGGAGACAAAGCAAGTCCAAGTCAAGGAAGTGACGAGGACAGGCCCCACGAGATTTGTAGGGATCACAGTAGCTCTGTGAGTCGGAACTGACTGGTCGGCATTTAGCAACATTCTTTATGGACTCAAACTGCTACCTCTTTCTTCCATGTAGCCACCAGCCTGTCAATTAGCAACTAAGCTCTTAACCACTGGCCCACTAGGGCTCTATGTAATAAAGAGTTAAAGTTCTAAAAATAAATGTTTTTCCTATTGCCCACAGCTCCTGTAAGTTGTGGTCTCACAGAGATTCTGCTTATTGATTCTCTTTAATGGAAACCAGCGTAGTGGTTATGAATCGGGCTGTGAACCGCAAGGTCAGCAGTTCGAAACTACCAGCTGTTCCGCAGAAGAAAGGTGAGGCTTTCTGCTCCCGTAAAGATTTACAGCCTCAGAAACCCTGTACAGGGTCGCTATGAGTCGGAACCAACTCAACAGCACCTAACAACTTGGCTCATACACACAGACATCATGATAGAACCTGTAACCTAAGTTATGCACGGTTTAAAATCCATCCAAGCTCAGGAATGTTAGAGAACAAAGAAAACCAAAATACGCTTCCTGAATCTTTCCCAGATGTGAAGGTCCTCAGGTACCTTATTATTCTGCAAAAAAACCAGTTTATCGCCTTTTAGATAGACTTCTTCCAACCGTGTACATAACTATGTAATATAACAATAATTTCAAGAGAAGAAGTAAGAAGGCGTGGGAGACTTCTATTGCATAATCTTCTTGCATAATTCCTCACACTTGGCTCCAGTGTGGGGAGGGCTATGTAGTGGGAATGGTAACTTGAGTCAGCTCTTTTATTATGCAATGTAAAACAGCCCAGTCATGGAGTTATGCTCTGATCCTCATTTGGAAAGTATGCAAGAACAGATAATGCCTCTCTGAGTATAGTGGTATACATTTATTTTAATAGAATGATAGCTTTGTTGGTCTTTGAAGGATCTGCATAAAGATTTCTTTTGTTTCCTGACAGTGGAGAAAATCATTATTGTTGATGTCCTGGTATGACACCATAGGATAAGCACTTAACCTGAAGGTCAGTTTTAACCACAAAGTCAGCGGTTCAAACCCACCAACCACTCCTCAGAAACCCTATACAGGGTCACTATGAGTTGGAACCATCTACAGCACTTAACAACAACAACAACAGGCATTGTCAGGTGTCCTGGAGTGGTGCAAACAGTTAAGTGCTCAACTACTAACCAAAAGGCTGGTGGTTTGAACCCACCCAAAGGCGTCTCAGAAAGAAGGCCTGGGGATCTGCTTCTGAAAAGTTACACTGCATGAATATACTACATTTTGTGTATCCATTCATGTGCTGATGGACCTGTGGGTTGTTTTCATCTTTTGACTGTTGTGAATAGTCCTAAAAACCCTCTGGAGCTCACTTCTACTCTGCACACAAGAGGTCACCCACTCAATAGCAACTGGTTTGGTTTGGGCTTGTTGTTGTTGTTGTTAAGTGCCATTGAGTCGGTTCCGACGGTTGGAAGAAGTCTATCTAAAAGGTGACCCATAGCGATGCTGTATAGGGTTTGCGAGGAGCAACTGGTGAGCTTGAACCACCAACTTTGCAGTTCAAACAGCTTTGCAGTCTGGCGCATTAACCCATAGCACCACACCAGGTTTTGGCTTAGGACATTGTTTTTGTTGGTAAGTGCCATGGAGTCAGTTCTAACTCATATCAACCTTGTATGGAGTTTCCGAGGAGCAGCTGGTGGGTTTGAACTGTTGACCTTGTGGTTTGCTGTCCAGTACTGATCCTACAGCACCACACCAGAACTCCATTAATGTCCTGTAGTTGTTGTTGTTAAGTGCCGTTGAGTCGACTGTGACTCATAGAGACCCTGTATAGAGTTTCTGAGGAGTGGCTGGTGAGCTTGAACCGCCAATCATGCAGTTCAAACCAACTTTGCAGTCCAGCACATTAACCCACAGTGCCACACCAACACTCTGATAATATCCCAGGCCTTCTATGCAGTTAAGGTCTGCGATGAGGACAGGAAGCATCTGAACTTTGTCCTATGGACATCACTTAACAGTAAAGACACTAAGCTTTTCCTTTCTTGCTTTGTAAATGGCCTTGGCTCCATTAAGATTCCTGCTGGGCAAATAGTAAAGGCTACTGAATTGACTTATTTTCCTCATCAATTAAGTCTTAGAAGGCTATTGCAATTTTTTAGTGGTGTTAAGAATACCAGCAATAATAGTTTAACACACCTTAGTTCCTGCGCCATCCTCAGATTCTCTCCTGCTGCTACCATGCTTGACCTCTTCACTGTTTTCTCCAAGGGTGGGCTTGTGCTGTAGTGCTTCCAGGGCATCAGCGATCCTTGTACTGGGCTTGTTAACGCACTGATTTGTTCCATGCTACTGCAGGACCAGGAGGCAACAACTTCACCTATGAGGCACTCACACTCATTATAAACTGGACAATTGTTTTGAGCTGGTATTTGTGGGTGGTGTTCAGAAGATCCTAACACTGACCTACGTAGACAGATTGACAGATGATGTGCACCAGCTGTTTCAGGTTAAGTACCGCACAGAGATAAAACAGCAAAGTGCCTTAAGTCTATTGAATGGCACTTTTGATTTCCAAAACAACTTACTGAGACTTCTTCGTGAAGCAGAGGACAGTAGTAAGATCCATGCTTCCACTACTATGAAAAAGTTTGAAGATTCTGAAAAAGCCAAGAAACCTGTGAGGTCCATGCTTGAGACACATGGGGGAAAGCCCAAGGAAAAAGTGAAGAACAGCAAATAAAAGAGGATTAAGAAGGAAGGTTCTGATCGTAGTTGTTTGGCTACCAGCAAAGCAGTCCTGGCAGAAAAATCAGGTCTCCCCATGGGATACTGAGAATGGGGTAGAACTTTCCAAAGAGAAGCTGGTCTGCAGGAAGCAAGCAGAGTTCATGCAGAAGCATGGGAGGGTTATGGAGAAGTCCACCAAGTCCCTGAAGTCAGATGCTCCAAAGAAGAAGGGCAAAAATACACCCCAAGTGTGGGCACTGGGTGGTTCTGCTACCCAAGAAGTCTTGGATTATAGTGCTCCGACCACCAATGGAAATCCTGAGGCTGCTCTGCCTGAGAACATCAACTTGATTTGAGGGACAGGGCCTGGAGGGCAGCTCCAGGTTCTGGACTGCAGCAGCTCAGATGAGGAATGAGCCTCTCAAAACACCACCAAACCTAGTGCTATAAAAGGTACCCTGGGTGGCATGTTTGGAATGCTGAAGGGTCTCGGGGGTTCCAAGAGCTTGAGTCTTGGAGACATGGACTCTCTGATGGACAAGATGCGTGATCATTTCATTGCTAAAAATGTGGCTGCTGACATTGCAGTCCAGCTCTGTGAATCTGTTGCCAATAAGTTGGAAGGAAAGGAGATGGGGTCCTTCAGTGTGGACCTTCAGTACTTCTGCAGTAAAGTAAGCTCTATAATGTTCCTGGTATAGATTCTGCAGCCACAGCGCCATGTGGACATGCTCTGGGACATCATAGATACCCAGCATCACCACTGCCCGTATGTTGTCATCTTCTCTGGTGTTAATGGAGGGGAAAATCTACTAACCTTGCCAAGATTCCCTTCTGGTTGTTAGAGGATGGCTTTGTTGTCCTCATGGCTGCTTGTGACACATTTTGTGCTGGGGCTGCATGCACACACCCAGCGTCTGAGTGCCCTTTAACCCCTTGAGAATCATGGTGGCTATAATATGGTGCACTTGTTTGAGAACGGCTATGGCAAAGATGCTGCTGGCATTGCCATGGAAGCTATTGCCTTTGCGCGTAACCAAGGCTTTGATGTGGTACTGGTGGACACAGATGGCTACATGCAATACAATGCCCCCTTGATGACTGCCCTGGCCAAAGTCATTACTATC